GAAATCCCGCATTACAAAAGAAAAACTTCAACAATCTCCCTTCCTCTGTTCCGCCTCAGCCACAAGTATAATTATGTATATGCAAGTATGTAAATACCAAGTTCGCTAAGCCTCTCCTAGGACTTGGTCCCGTGACAATTTGCACCTCTTCCTTTTTTTTTTGCATCAGATTTGAATTGCGTATGCAGCTATCTAGCTATGACACAATATCAAAGAAAAGTACAGAATAGATGATTCGTCGTAAAGGAAGAGCACTCATGCCTCAGATTTCATTTGCAAGTACTACTGCGAAGCTATGGCGGCTTTTTCTTCACCCCAAGTCAACCCTCATCCGTGAATACCCACCTAGGGAAACGTCTTAAAAACCTTAAGTTATCCAGATGTGCCTATATCATCTTTCAACTTTTCTCCGCGCGAAATGTAATCTGAGATGTCTCCTTCCCAAGTGGAGTAGGTGCCCAGGCTACTCAAACTATATCGGAGAGCACCACCAGGAGGCGGACCACAACGCCTTCCATCGTTGGCTTATATTTATAGTGTCAGCTACACTCTCGCAAGTGAAGTCCTGGCGCGCACAAAGCCCAATTCGTAACACTCTTGCCAAAATTCAAAATCACACGCTCGTCGAGTTTGTATCCATCCTCTGCATCATCTTGTCAACTTTTCCTGATCTCTCTCACTTCCATCCCAAAGAACAGTCTCCCAGGTTTGTGCGCCACGCTTTGCTTCCTCCGTCGGATGTAAATGTCGGCGTGGGCGTGTGTTTGGTGGTCAACTGAGGCCAGAGAAGGTCGAAGAGTGGTGTGGTCATTGGGATGAGGATGTACTAGGTCGTACTTGTAGACTTGATGAGACTCAGGTAGGAGTCGAACTCTCTGCGACTGAAAAAACGACACTGTAGAGTAATTTGAATCAATGCCTCGTGAGCCAACTTCTTTGATATTGCGAAATTTGACAAAACTTGGCTCTGGGAGAATATTTCACTCCCAGGTTTGTGTAGGACACCGCGTAGAGGTGTTCAGTCTGGCCCCCCTAAGTTGGGAGCTTAGTAGTTGCGGAGGCCGAGACTACAAGACGAAGAGTCCCATCTGTTGTGAGGTTATGGATCGTAGAGAAATGCTGGAATGGTATAGGGAGGTGAAGGATATCTGCAGAACAACGAAGCAGTTGAATAGAGCTTAAGGGTGAAGCTTGGTAGGGTGACACGAAGAGGGTATGAATAGACCTTCAGAGATATTCAGTAAATGTAGTGAACTGAAGATTTCTGAAGGAGAACACTACATATATATACAGGAATTAGTCCTAGTGAGACGAATCTAGAAATTAGCCAGGATATGCGCCCATGTCCCAGTATGGCGACGTTATCATGTTGAAGGTATGTCTTGACCATCAGTAGACCCCCAAGCTAGCTGAGTGTAATACAGAATCATGCATATACCATAATTTCCAACATATCTTGTGTTAAGCTCCAACAGTAATTAATATTACAGAAAATAGATGTGGCGCAGCAGTAAATGATACGAATAAAGGAAACGAAACCGAGATAGTACATGACTAGTGTAACAGATGCAGGACTGTTAAAATTACAACACCATCTCCCTCGGGAGAGGCTAAGGATCGCCGAGTCCAGTTCATTGAATTAGACTTTAAATGTGTCAACATTTGCAGACGCGAGTTCTTGTCTTATATCTTCGTCTGTGAGCGGCTCACGAACTCTGGATGCATTGTATCCATATTTTGGAACCGGTCCTAGTAGAAAGTTTAGCCTTTTCTCTTGTCGTTCTACCTGTACATTTCTAGTAATCGGTTGAAGGGCTTGGCTAGCTAATGGGGCCACTAGGGCAATGCCAGATGGAACGTCTCGAAAGGCTTGAAAAAGTTCTGGCCGTTGTAGTAGCCCTCGGAGGCTTAAGCGGACAAGAAGTGTGTCCTGAGATCGAAGAGGATGGTCAGTAGGGAGGCGAATAATTACCCTGTTATCAGTCTTCGGAATTTTGCTCAGTTTCTGGCCTTTTTAGGTAGAATTTTCGCTGACGGACCAGAATTTAGGGCTGGCCCTGGTGCGCTAGATTTTGCTACATTGGCGTATGTAAGCTTTGTGGTTTTAGGGGTGGGTGGTTCTCGGGTTATCACTGCCTTGGGTTGTGACTGAATTGTTGATTATAGGATTGTAGGCACGTTTTCAAAAACAGGGAGTCTTGCTATAACTCGAGCAGCGCTACGCGTGACGACCGCTCTTAGGTCTGCTGCGATTTCAGGGGGTAGAAAGAGAAGATGCTCGAGCCCCGCATTCTGCCAGGCCAGAAGTGCAGTTGCAACTTCATTAGTTTCTGCCGTTGATAAGGAGTGGATCACTCTTAAAGGCGGAATTGTCGTCCCCGCTGTGTTGTAAGGATTATAGGCCTCATGAGAAGGGGAGGCGTGTATTAAATGCGCAAGCCCTTGTCTTGCTTGGGGTGGCTTAGGGGCCTTTGAGGAGGCGCCGCTATTAGCTTTTGAAGCCCGGGTTTGGGGAGCGAGGGCATAGTCTAAGTCAGAGTGTGAGTTTTCTTCGTCAGAGTACTCTGGCATGAGCTCGTCTACGGAGTCCATGGTCATATTTTCTTCTTTTGTGTCAGGTAGTTTTTCCTGGAGAGCCACTATCAATGCTTCTTCACGGCCGGCTGAGTATGTAGAGCTTTTCTTTACGCGTTTAGAGGCGCGGGTGAGTATGCGGGAGGTTGGCCCCTGAAGCAGTGTGACGGTATTTTTTTGCCTCCCGGGCAGCATCTTTGTACATCGTACTACGGATAGAGATCAGGTGAAGAATTTGATACTATGTCAGGTAGTTGTATATAGACTGGGCTGAAAGCATGAGAAATGTGGGTATTCATTTATAATATGTAACGTCGTGCCCACGCAAACACATTAGCTCCTCACGTACCGGTTAGCCCAGCCTATATAAAACTATCCGACATGTTGGCGCCTCCATAGACCCAACATAGCAAATGAAAACAAGGATATTGTTATCCTGTGCTCGAAGATTTAATTAAACATAAATATCAGCCTCCCGTTGTCTCTCATGATTTGCAGATGTTGTTCCATAGAGAATATAAAGCGAAGAAATAAAATTAGTAAAGAGAAAAATTGGTTGCGTCGCTTTAAAGCTCTCTCGCTTTTGTTACATGACTTAATTCTCGTCAGACTTGTTGTTGTGCTATTCCAAAAAAGATTATGTCACGCACCCAGTTATTGAATGCATCAACTTCCTCCGCCGAAGGAAGAGCCCAAGATACGCTGGGATTGGAATTTTGTGCCCTGTGGAGTAGAGCTTGGTATTGGCCAAGGTGGCAATAGAAAAAGTGGTTGGGGGACTTTTCTTCTCCGCATGAGCAGTTTACAATGGCGTTTTCATGCTGAAAGCGTCGGTGGTAGTCCGCGAAGTCCCCATGACCGGACCGTAAAGCTAGTAGATATCCTAGTGTGCGTCGCCCTAGACGAGCGAGCTCAATGGTGATTCTAGTATTAGTACCAATACCTAATTCTTTGTATCTGGAAGGTGCGTTTTCCACCCAATATAGTGCGACTTAAGCCTTGTATTGGGCTTTGACTTCTCTCCTTTCCCTCGTAATGGAGAGTTCTAAGTGCGGAGCTGGAGCCGCACAGGCGGCTTTAGCAAGCGCGTCGGCTGCTTCGTTCCCGAGAATACCTAGGTGGCCTGGGCACCATCGAACAGCTACTTCCCCAGGCGTCATATTTTGAACGCGTGATCTTCTATTTTAGTTCAATGCGAGCTTGCGAAAGATTAAATTTTCGCCGAGCTGGATGCTGTGGGCGTATCCAAGAGCAGACGGATGGCAGCCTCCTGGTTTTAAAGGCAGGCAGCGAATTTAGAGGCATAATAGGTCAGTGGGCTGCGAAGAACTGCGGCAAGACCTTCAGTGGCCCCAGCGATTTCTGCATCATACACTTCTGCCGAGTTTCCGAGCGGGAGTGATCCTCGCCCAATCACCTGCGTGAGACCTCGGTAGATGACATAGCCCGCACCTGCTCGGTCTTCTATTAGAGCTCTGTCTGGGAATACGAAAAAGTCTAGGGTAGGTCGTGTAGCCTGCCACTGTTTGAAGGGATTTGGTCCCGAGAGTCTACCTACTGCTGCAATTTCAATTAGTCTTTCTTCGCCGGATGACGACCTCGGTGGAGGGATGATGTCCTCGGGAAGTTCTGGCGAGATTCTTTGACTGATCTAGCACATGCGACAAATGTTCCATCGTCTTCGAAGAGGGTGGTACGGATCAGCTGCAGCAATTCGAACCGCTAGACGGCTGTGAATTCTGTTGAGCTACGTCTGAGCTGGGCCCCAGCCAGCTTCACGTAGAAGTGCTGCTATTGGTGTTGTACGGTAGACCGGGAGGGCTACCCGAGCTGCGTCGTTCAACCTGTGTTGGAGTCGCGATATTGCCTTTTGAGATGTCTCTTTGGAGTACCAGGTCTCGGCCCCATAGAAAAGGGTCGCAAATGCGGCACCATGCAGAGCTTGTCTTAGAAAAAGAGGGCTAATTTCTCGAGTGGTGGTTGAGAGTCTTTTCAAATGGCTCGTGATAACTCGAGACTTTCGGCAAGCCTGTAGGGTATGAAATTGGAACCGTAGAGCCCGTTCGATTAAGATTCCAAGTCAGCAAGTGTGATCATTTGGCGTTATAGTTGTCTCTCCAATATTTAGAGTAGGCTCTGTTGGTGATCCACGCTTCCGGTGAAATTGTTGCAGCTCAGTCTTACATATATATTTATTTATCTTTATTTAACGTCTGGCGGATCACGCGTCAAGCGAGTAACCCTATTCTGTCCCTACTGAGACAAAAGACGCTCTTACATATATATATGTGTGCTACTGGTTGCGAGTCATGTAGACACCTAGCCCCAGTCACATGACAGGTGAGGGGCAAATCCTCCGAATGGGAACAGGTTCATGAAGGCGACGTTTAAGAGCAGCCATCAACAACTTGCCTTCCTTCCCCAAAATGTCAGTGCTTTTGAAAATAGAGTCTGAGGAAGCATGGGAAAAACAGATGTCAGAAACGCCCTCAAGCACTCTGCAAGTTATTTACTTTAAGACAGAATGGGCAGCTCCGGTAGGTGATGAAAATCTTTTGTACATAGTATCTTATCTGCGGAATTCTCACTCTATCTCACGAGAGAGTGTTTATTTTGCCCTTGTATCTATACTAACTGGACTCAGTGTAAGCAAATGACTGCAGTACTTGAGACACTAGCCTCTTCGTATCCCGTCACTGATCCTCCCTCCACATCCTGGTTCATTATAGACGCGGAAGATCTCATCGATGTGAGCGAATCTTTCAAAGTCGCCGCAGTTCCATTTGTTGTTCTGAGGCGTGGAACGACTATTATTGAAAGTTTCAGCGGCAACAAAGCTACCACGATTAGAGCAGCAATTGAGAGCAACTTAAATTCACTCCCAGCTGGGACAGGAGCTCCAGATCTATCAATAAGTAATAATAGAGAGTCAAAAGAAAATGATCCAACTAAGCTGGAAGAAAATGACTCAATCACTGCGGCTGACGGCACAGCGGAAGTAGAGACCACCAAGGAAGATCTCTTCAAAAGACTTAATACACTCGTTAGAGCTGCGCCTATAATGCTTTTTATGAAAGGAACACCAAGTGCACCTCAGTGCGGGTTCTCCCGGCAACTTGTGGAACTTCTGCGGAACAGCGGTGTCAAATACGGATTCTTCAATATCTTGGCAGATGATGCTGTTAGACAAGGGCTGAAAGAGTTTGCAGACTGGCCCACATTTCCTCAACTATGGGCCGGAGGTGAACTTGTTGGCGGCCTAGATATCGTAGGGAGACCTTTTTTCGCACTTTTTATAATCTACTGACTATAATACACGCAGGTTAAGGAAGAATTAGCTACCAACCCAGATTTCCTAAAATCTCTCATCAACACAACTCCAGCAATGGAAAATGATAAAGCCTCCTAATCAGTAAAATTTAACTATTCTATCTAAAAATAGTGTCTTTCAAGGCAACTAGAATAAAAAAATCTATGACATTATACTTGTCCCATCATCACGCCTACCCGTCTCCTCAAATATGATACCGTGTAATCAGATAACCAATCCAGAAAGAAGGTTTTAGGTGGGAATCTATTTATCCCAGACTTCAGTTTGTACACTATCACTTGGTTTAACGTCGAGTCCACTTCATCTGATGGCTATCTGCATTTTTAGTCATGAAGATCTTTGTCCCAATAATGAATGAATGAATATTTATTCGTGACAGGCACAAGCCCTGCACTCAAAGAGCATGACACGGAGAAGACTAGCTTCTCCATATCTCAAGAATACTAAGGCCCTGTCGAAATTAGGACAGTACTTCAAGCTTCCGGAGATTTATAATTTAGTTTTTACAAGAATAAATCTCAGACTTTCTCTTTGCATGATACCTTGAGGATGAAAACGTTATCACAATTCATGATCGCAACAATTCTCCAAGTAAGGTTCAGAATGTAAAGCTGAGCTAAGACAAGTTTTGGTATATGATCTTTTACTTACAGCTTACGTAAACATGCAGAATATATCCTTCTAACCCATATAGAGCCCCACCTTATCCTTTTGAAGTATAAAGAAATTTCTCCTGCTCTTTTTTAGAACCCAGGATATACTCAAAATTACAGAGTGTCATAAGCTCCTAGAGAAATTATGGAATCTATGAAGTCTAATGCAACTATAATATAGAGTTAGATTCCTGGACGATTTTTCCTGACATTAAGTACTAGAAAACTGGTGTACTCCTCACTATTGAATAGTGTAGAATCGTACATAATAAATGGCGCCATGTTGGGCTAGGTTAATAGTTATGAAGCACTTAAACCTCGTCCAAATAGAATGATCAGATCACTCTTGACACAATTTGTATGTTAAGCCACGCCATGTCCGATCATTTAGAGAACAGTGTTAACGTAACGAAGCGCAAATATCTCTTCGACTTTAGCTATCACAGGCCCTAGCTGTTGATATCTTCGTTCTTTACCATTTCACATCCTCTTAGCCTCAGTGCCAGAATTTCTTGGACGCTCAGCATCTCAAATAGGTGTTGTGTCCTCCATCAAAGTATTTTATTCAGTTGCTCATCGAGATCTCTATCTTTTTGCCCTATTTTTCGCCCATTGGATACGCCTTGATACTCTAACCGAGTTTCTATGACTCAAATCTTTGATTATATCTACCCCCAACGTTATCATTTTGCTGCCATATCCTCAGTAGTAAAGAAAAAAACTTTTGTATAAACTCTCCGGGGCTAGATCCCAATTTTTGGTGCTTTATCAAATACAATTTAAATTTAGTGTTGTTCCTTCCCAGTCAGGTCAAGATATTAGCATCCTTGTTCGAATCATAGTCTTACTTAAGGCTTGTACATCGATCGTATCTTTCGAGTACGCCTTTATGTAAAAGCTCTGATACTATCGCATAATTGATGACGGCAATAAGTTTCTAGTTTTTTGGAGGGACCGGCAGGGTGTGAGATGAACATGCAGAGTGTCGCAAGGTGATTTCAGCTGACTAACAGATCCTAGATAAGTGTAAGAGCATGATTAGTTTCGCCCTCATCTTTATGTGCTTCAGACTGTATGATTATATCAACATAATGTTTTTGAGGTGCGAATTGTTGAATACATTTATTTGTGCAGCCAGTGCATCTCGCACGGAAAAAGCTCCGATCAAAGAGGAGTTGGAAGATTTTCTTCCACCCACTTTTCGATCAGAAACTTTTGTGCTCAATCTTTCACATGTTCTTACCGTGGGCTACAATAAAATTTTGTCTCTACGGATCTTCGGAATTGTCATGGTTAGAAGTTCAGGCTTCATTTTCCTAATATGTTTACGGTCCAGTTTGGGAACACAAGATTGTGCATGGGACTGGCCTTGCACAATTAGACTTAGGAACTTTTATTGGTTAGACTTTTGCCAGGGAGGGTGGAAGTTCTTTTTTTTTAATCATTTAAGTGTGTTCAGCTTTGGAGCTATGACACATGACCGGTGCTATGTATACACGTTGGATGACTCTTTTGACGTTAGAGACACTCATACTCTGGATTTCGTTCGCAAATACCACTATGAGGTGTGCTTGCTTACACAAACATACGACCCTCCTCCGTTAGTACCAGCCATAGGGAATTTCGAAACCTTTGGTTATCCAAGCAAGCCTTCGTCATACATGCATACCAGCGCCGCGAGAAATGTGATTGTGTTTTGCCGGATTCGAACCAGCGATCTACTGTCTCAAGTGGGATATGTGTCCAAGCTATCTAGACTCTACTTGGCAGACCGGCCAAGACGATGTACCACCGCACCATCCGACCATGGCGGTGTTTATAGTGTCGCCTGCACTCTCGCAACCGAAGTCTTGGCACGCACAAAACTCAATTTGTAAAAACTCCTTTCCAAGTTTCAAAATTCCATGCCCATCGAGACTGTATCCATCCTTCGCATCATCTTGTGAACTTGTCCTGATTCCTCTCACGTCCATCCCAAAGAACAGTCTCCCAGATTTGTGCGCCACGCTTTGCTTCCTCCGTTGGTTGTAAATATCGGCGTGGGCGTGTATTTGGTGACAGGCTGAGGCCAGAGAAGGTCGGCGAGAGGTGTGATCATTGGAGTAAGGCTGTACTAGGTCGTACTTGTAAATATGATGAGGCTTAAGCAGGATTCGATCTTTTCTGGAATGAAAATTTGACGCGGTGGAGTTATTTGAATCATTGCCACGTGGGCCAACTTCGGTGTTAAAATTTGACTGAACTTGGCTTTGGGAGAATATTTCACCCCCAGATGCGTAGAGAGCACAACTGACAGTTGTTCAATCTTATCCTCCGGGGTGGAATTTCGCATGGAGAAAGGGGCTGGTTTCTACGGTTAATTGCAGAGCTGAAGGGCTTTCCAATCTTGGGCATTATATTAAAGATCTTTCAAGTGAAAAGAGGAGTTTGTTCTGCTAGTTAGTGACATACCCAGTGCCCTGATGCAAAATATAAGTATCCAGTGCTCCAAAACCATTCAACCTATCCTCCTATTCGACCGCTTTATGCTCCACCACACTAAATATGGAAAATATTCTCATGTGATCAGCTAGTAATTATCGAGGCTGTAATCCTATTGTTACACGGTCTTCAACGCCAAAATCTCTTGGGTGCGAAGTGGTTGTGTTATAAAAACGAGGTCATGAGAAGACCGAGAAATACCTGAAATGGATGCAGATGATTATGGGTATGCGGATGTAGTCGATATAGCTGTAATGCGAAGATGCGTTGGAATGTACAGTGGTAAATTGTTAGTTTTCTATATATCTGCGGAAGTATTGCTTCCTTATATACACGTTCAACACCCAGTCCTGATCACGCACTCACCACAGATGCTTCCTGCTCCTGTCACAGTAACCACTTCCATAGCCACTGCCAATATCTCCTGACATGACATACCATTGATACTGGTTGCTAGTGTGGACCTTCCGGGATTACAGAGCCACACACCATCGTCACATTATATGCTGTTGCCCCTCGGTAGCCATCAGAATGATGTGTACCCCATTCTAGACGCATTGGTCTACCAGGCAACGCTCGGACGTTGGTGAGGTTTTAAGTTCCTAGGATGGTAGGGTGATAAAATGTGAATGTACAGAAATCGTAGGTCACGATGTCTCGGGATTTCTACTATATCTTCTATATTGTGAAATCTTAAGACGGTGTGTGATCCCCTTTAAAATTACAGGATGTGTCTAGTATATACAGATTTGTAGCTTAGCGTGCATTATGCATAAAAACTGGGGTACACGTGACAAATTATAATACAATATTTATGATCCTGGATCCTCACAGCTGAGGACCTAATCACTCTGGCAACATCCCTATGAGGATCCAGGATCATAAACATTGTATTATAATTTGTCACGTGTACCCCAGTTTTTATGCATAATGCACGCTAAGCTACAAATCTGTATATACTAGACACATCCTGTAATTTTAAAGGGGGTCACACACCGTCTTAAGATTTCACAATATAGAAGATATAGTAGAAATCCCGAGACATCGTGACCTACGATTTCTGTACATTCACATTTTATCATCCTACCATCCTAGGAAATTAAAACCTCAGCTGTGCTGTCAGTGCCCCGATATCACTCAGCATCCTGCGCCCGAGTGTCCAAGTGCCGCGACAGTGGAAGTTCATTGAGACTCGATCGGATCTGATCCGTGGTATTCACAACAGGTTGCCATCACCCTAGAAAGCCACAGCTGTTTTTACAGATCCAATCTACTCCATGGCACTCTTATCAGTTAGGGCGCTTGCTTACAGCCTGAATAGAATAGAATTACAGCCTCCACTGAGTCTTTGACCCTTTTTTTTTATCAATTATTGTGTGTTCAGATGTCTAGCTATCATTGTGATCTAACGCCGTTCAATCTGTGGACTTTGTGGTGAGCAGTTATTACATCTCACGTGATGGAACACGGGAGCGAAGTAAAATAGGGAACAGCCTGATAGCCAAATCTAAGCCATAACGGACACACATAGAACTGTAACAAATTCTCTGTGGATAGACATAACAAGTATATATCATCAATAATTGTATCAATCTCCACACAATTGAGACCCATAGTGGTGTTCTCCGGTATGGTTTGAGTAGCCCGAGCACCGACTACACTTGGGAAGGAGACGCCTACATCACATTTCGCGCGGAGAAAAGTTGAAAGATGATATAGGCACATCTGGATAACTTAAGGTTTTTAAGACATTTCCTTAGGTGGGTATTCACGGATGAAGGTTTTTTTTTTTTTTTTTTAAATTCATTTTATTGTCCTGTCTGAGTCTATGACTATGTAGGACATGCAGGTCCTCTCTGCCTACAGGCCAGGGATACCTATACCAGTAGTATATCCCCTCCTATGCCTCCCATACAGCTCCCCTCAAACAGTATCACCCCTCAC